GAGATGTCAGTAACCTTCCCATAAAATATTAATGAAATCCCTCTGCCAGAATTTCAACTTAAGTTGAAAATGTAAAATGTAAACGGATGACAACGGATGAAGACGGATAGACATTGGTCACTTGAGCTAAAGATCAGGTGACCTAAAAAGGAAATAACAACAAATGATTTTTTTTCAAAATTAATGTAATGTCTGGCTGAATTTTGTATTTAACTCTGTCCTTAATCAAAGAAAACTCTGGGCCTACCTGAATTGTATGGTAATTTCGTTAGTAATAGGATATGTATACTATTCTGGTCCAATATTAATTGGCTGTGGCCATCGGACCAATTCACCTAAGATTGTAATCTGTAGTGTCTGTCACATCACACCTGTTAAAATACTGTCACCTGTAGCCAAGTCTAGATGTTACCTTACCTATAGACTCAAGGTCATAGAAATTCGTCAAAAATAATTACTTAAAGGTCATTCACGAGTGAAGTTGGACAGATCGTTTTGTATATCCATTCTGTCTGCTTTTGTTCATTTCCCAATACACACCTGTTCTAAACTCCTCGTAGCAATTATATAAGGATATAGAATCTCTGATGTAGGATTATAGATGTAACTTTTATCTAACATTGTATCACTCTCCTATTTAAATGTGGGAAAGGGATACATCCATTGCATAGTGACCTCTGACCTTGAAACACTGAGAGACAACACAGTCTTGGGACCTCTGTGACCTTACACATCCTGGTACCCATTCCTAAATCCACATCTGGTCTGACTGTTGGAAATATATTTGTCTTTTTAACCTCCGGGCAATGTCAGAGAAATTAGTCATCTGTCTAAATAACATAACTATCTCCTGATTAAAAGACCTTGACGATAATTAGACTAGAGTGACCCGCCCTTGTTACCCATAATTCTTCCATACCACCATGTCTGTTTAAAGATTAATGTAGAAATTGCACCACATTTCAACAAAAATAATGTCACATTTAGATAATTTCTTTTTACATTCCCTGATAATACGATCAACTTTCAGACTGAACCGATCAACTTTCAGACTGAACCGTGGAACTAAGAAACCTCTTGTCTTAATAGTTATACAGAGATGAATGGCTCGCTGTTAAGGACTGTATAGGCCACACAATCAATTGAAAATCAACACATTAAGTTTGTAATGCGTTTATCTGTGGCCTAACGTTACGTTGCTATGACGTGTCAGGTCCTATACACGAGTTGTCTACTTAGAAATTGGTTCTTATCGTAGAAATGTGGCATGATTTCTGGTCTCAGTCAAAGATCTAGGATTTATGGATAATTTTTATCCAAGAATATTTTCCCTGAAGCCTTTTTCATATCAACAGTGTCCAACTAAATCAAGATAAATATAACCTTCCTTTTTATATCCTATTGTAAAAATAGCTACCACTTCAACAAAGATTGATCCAAATTTGTTTTTTTAAGTGAGTGACTGAACTGAGATATAACACGATCTTTTGTAAATTGATGAGACTAGTATGTAATTGTTCCTTGCATGGTTTTTCTTTTCTGCTTTTTTTTTATAAATATATATATATATTTCTATCATCTGCAGTTCTTTGATCCCCCTGGAATAGTGAATAGCCCTATAATAACATTCAGAGATACGTCGATTCTCCGTAGTGTATAATTAGGGTAACCTGGTATCTTTTTCAAAAAACAGGCTGTGACTATTCAACTTTTTTTCACCCAGGATTTTCTACAAATTTTATTTCTTATCTTAATTCTTACATTAACTTACTCTTACTGAGGGGTCATCAGGTTCATTTCTTCAATTAAATCTGGAATGGAGGGGGCTATCATTTACAGGAAGCTATTATTAGACTCAAGGGAGGAGGACAGGATGTGTACTCAAGTAACTTTTTATGTTTACAGATTGTGAATGGCATATTGCACCTAATGTCTTTGTACCAGAGAAGGTTATGTAGAAGTACTCACAGAAACCAAGGTGGCAGACTTTTGCGACCGTCTTTAATTTGAAAAAAATATTTGGAGTACATGGAGATATTATTGAACAGCGTGGTGCACACACGATTCTTGTTAATTGTCCTTTTCATTTTGTTCCTGGTTTATTGACTTCTGGAACGAGAGATCTGACATCGTTACCAGGACATCAACATGGTAACATCAATATGGCCCCGAAGACCGCCTCCTTTTAGCAGCGACACTTGATCAATATGACAGTTATCTGCTCTTCCTCATTATAAAACAATGTTTTTAATGTTCAGATTTAGCTGACATAGATTTAAGTGATTTAAACAAATGACAACTTCTTTATTGTTTTTTGTTAAAATGGGGTTTTAAATGTTTTGTGTGCAGTTACAGTAAAATTGTAGACGTGGAGGTAAACGTGATACCTATGTATAGACGTGGAGGTAAACGTGATACCTATGTATAGTTTGTCATTATCCTAGAGCTCACTGAGTATAGCCTGACACACACAAACTGCTACTTTTTACATTAGATTGAACAAGACAGATAGCACGTTTTAACCCCTGCACAAATCTGTCCTCTCTGTTTCACTGGGACAAGGGTACAGCCTGGTTTGGAACTCTTCTGTGCCATCTGGAGTGTCTCCGATCACACCCAAAGTTACAGAGACAAATGATCACTTCGACCTCTACCCTTCCCTACACACGAGTCATCATCTGTTTTTCTTTAAACTTCTGAATTTTGAAAAAAAGTCTGTTTTAAATCATGACGATTTTATCGGATCAAATTAAGGAAGAATTTGGGGACTATTTAGACAGAAATGTCATTAGGTTGCCATTAGCCAGTCCTAAAGTTTAGTTTTCTCTAGGAAAAATACAGTTGAAAGAAAAGTAGAAAGACCTGCTTGTTTCTTAAAGCCATAGTATGCTGGACACTCTGTTCCTGATTTTTTTGGGGAATAATAAAGTTTCTACTTATGCACAATAAAAGAAAAACCAAGTTAAAAGGAATTAGTTTTAGCATTTTCAAGGCATCACAAAGCAAAAGCCATACCAACACAATTTTATTGTAGTTGTTCATAACGCTGCCCTAATGTTGGAAACGAAATAGTTTGTTCTACACAGGATTATGTTGGGTTATAGAGTTCTATTGTAAGCAGGTTCATGAACTATCAATGTCAGATAAATGAAGTTCTAATGTAAGCAGGTTTATAGACTGTCACTGTTGGAGTAAAGAGCTTACATTTAGACAGGCTAATAAACTATATATGTCAGTTAAAAGAGGTTCAATTATAAGCAGGTATCCAGATTATCAAAGTCAGATTAATAATGTTCTCCTACACACAAGTTTCTTGACTATCAAATTTCACCAACAATGTTCGTCTGTATCCAGGTATTGGAACTCTCCTGTTTTGTGGGGGAAAATATAATATTGTTCGGGTGTAAAAACGTCTAGTATGGAAACAGATACTGTGACAGAACAAAAGGTTTCACTGGGTGGCTTATACTTACAGGTTTTGTAACATGTTCATCATAAATTGGTTAATGGGCTAAAAAATGGTCTTGTAAGCTAATTGTCAAAAAGACAGTTACCATGCTGACCCAAGCATTTTATCCTGCAGCAAGGATTCTCCAAGTTAGAATATATCATGATATAAAGTTTATGAATTTGTGAATGAGCAAAAAAATTGGCTTTGTCAGCGAGTTGTTAGATACACAGATTTACTATGCATGACAACATAACAAAGAATTTAAACCTGCAAGAAAGATTTTCCAAGTCAGAAGATTGTTATATCATGACTTCCTGTCGAACCTTTGATCCGATCTATCTACTGGCTGTGTTTATCCTGCGCTTTACACGATAACAGTCATTCTGGCAGTATCGGGTGGATGTACCATGATACATAGAGCCTCTTTATCACTCACTACTGCCATAGCAGGAACCCTTATCACATCAACAAACGGGAATGTAGAATGAAAACAGATTTGATAGTGTAGAAATTCAAACATTTCAATAGAATTTTTGAGCTAAATGCAGCAATAGTTTTTTAAGGAATTGACTTTTGAAGTAAAGAACAACATAAGTGAAAATACCCAACGATACAATCAGATCAGGAAGAGTCAGAAAGAAATAATGGGGAAAATACAATGATTACAAACTAATTTATAAGTTGGTGTGTTAAATAAAATAAATGCCACCTAGAAGGATCTGAGAACTGTTGACCGATATATAGCTTGGTTGTGACTAGTACAAATCAAAATACACACACATACATCATGATTTTATAATCTTAGCACAAATTAAGATACATCTGTGACCCAACAGTTTTATCAAGGAAATTAAAAATTAAAATTTATCATTAATTTGTTGCTAACATAGTATTAAGCAGTTCTATAAAATCAGATGTAAACATTTTTACAGCGTACTGCAGGAAGTCAGCAGAGATGAGAATATTTATAGAGAAGAGCACAGTTCTGGTTTCATAAGCATGCGATTGATTCACTGTCAGGTGGCAACTTAAAGTACCAGGTGAGCTTGGCTGTGAGACTCTCAGGATATAAGGCTATATTACAGCCCCAAGGCCGATCCCTACTGTACATCTGCCACTAATGACTGCAGCACCTTTTAGACTGCAACCATTTATTAGGATTCAACACGTAGAACAGTTACAAACAAAGCATAGGAGGATTAGGTTTTGGCTTGAAGAATCTTTACATGGAACTAGTGTTAAGACAGAAACATTTTCCCTCTCTGCATGATGTGTAATTTTATACAACAATCATGTGCAAAACATGCCTGTAAAATTCTGTGTTTTAATTCCACTCTACATAGCATTGGGGTGATTTACATGCTCAAGTCAGAAATGCACAAAAATCCTGGAACAAAAGCAATGTCTAATGTATATCTGGTAATTAAAGACAGAGCTTACATTTCATTTTTAAGTTGTTTGTTTCTGGTATGTTTGTGGCTGTAATTTTAGTTACCAGCTGGTTTAGAAGCTATACATTTCTGACTGGTTTGAGGCTAATAAAACTTACGGGCCAGTATGAGTTCGGACATGAATCTTTGGGCAGGAATGTCACGGTTGTCTCCAAGTCCTTCACATCTGTAAAAACCTTCGTCAACCTGGCGAACTCTTGGAAAGTACAATGATCCGTTGTTGAAAATAGTATGCCTGCAAGATATATAAAATAGTATGCCTGCAAGATATATAAAATAGTATGCCTGAAAGATATTAAAATAGTATGTCTGCAAGATATTAAAATAGTATGCCTGCAAGATATATAAAACACATATGGATTACATAAGAGTACAAATGTAGGAGAAATTTCATAACAACATTACTGCCTTAATTAGTGCACCTGTAGGCTAAGTTTCCCTAACAGGTGCTTCATAATTAAGGCATTGCCAAAACCGTTCGCAAACAATAAACCCGTCATAAATGTGGTGCAATGGATGACTTATGGTCGGCAGTCTACCTACCCTCAACTTTATTCATTTTATGGAAAACAGTGCATTACTGCCGGCCATTAATATTTAAAGTTCAACTGTTTGGCTCAAATTACAGTAATAAAATAATATTGTTTCAAAAAGGTATTCTGACCATTTTGTCATATAGCGAAAGCTGTCGTCAACATACATCATAAAACAGTTTCTTCTCTTAAAGACCTTTTACCATTTACCGAGGAGTTCCTATTTTACGTAACAATCTCCTGCACATGTATAACTAGCATCACTAAGAATTAAAATCATAATGGATATACATCTGTGATAAAACCAAAACATCTTGTTTTTGTTCATGCCTCAACAAAAGATTATCGACTGTACTGAATTTGCAAAATTTAAGTGTTTTTTAAAAGTAGGACTAAATTGCCCTAATGAACAATGTCTTTTCAATGATTTGCAAGCTAGCAGGTTCAATGTGTCGAATGGCCATTAAAGAGAACACCACAATGGTGCCCATGGGGTATGTTTATACTGCAGACAAAATAATCATAATCATCTTCTTTTTTGTTGTAAATATTTGACATGATGATACATGCATAAAGTTTGAAGCCAATGGCTGCCTTATGTTAATTTGGAAATAACATGTAAAAGAACATCATCAAGCAATTACAGGAGTGAATTTTCATATAATGATTTCTCTTTTTTCCTTATTTTCCCCCCAAATTCTAACTTTATTACCATTCAGAAACTAACAGGACTGAACATCCTTTGACAACACATTTTACATTCTACTCTGTTTAATTTTAAATACAGCTGAAAATGTCATCATTAAAATGATTGAGAAATGCAGTAAAGAATATTATGGAACAAAATAAGTTTGATTGTTAAATATAGATTTTGAAACCTAAATACATGAAGGGATGTAATTTTCTAGGTTTTCTGGGGTAACAACAGCTTAAGGATTATCTTGACCTAATTTCAGTTTGTTACACTCTGCCTTTCCAAGGTATAAACAAGTTTGGTAAACCATGGCAAAATGATAAGGAAATTATGATCTGGACAAACTTTGGTATCAATAGAGAACAAAGCACATTAACTCTGTATAAAGCGAGACATCAGAATGTGATACTCTGCGTCCAAAAGACAGAAGTAAAGTTTAGTGAATTAAATTAATTAGCAAGGGAGTTACGGTATACTCTGGATAAAATATTGTTGATGACTTACCAGTTAGACGAACGTCACACCAGAATACTACCGTCATAATTTAGTGTACAGAAATGACCAGGATATGTACTTTATAGGAAGGGTTAGATTTTCTGAATCACTGTTGACAAAGGTTCCCAGTGCCTACATTAAATTCCCATGGCACTCACACATTTTTATTCTCTTCAATTTGACACTTACACCCCATTTCATCATCCCATAAGTTCTATACTTAAAACCTACTTAATAACAATGCACAATACTCAAAGTTAAAAATCGGAAAAAAAATAATCTCTTGGCTTTTATTCGACACAGAAATATTCAGTTCAACAATTTGTACCTGCATTTTATCACTGACCTTTAAGCTCTCGATTCAATCTTTTTCAATTTGCCGTGAGATCAATATCCACTTCAGTCTTTTCAGAATGCAGACACAATGATCTATCAAGTAGCTGAGGTCATTAATTAAAAGCATTTAGAAATCTTTGTTTTTTTAAATCTCTCAACAGTATATATCTATGTATGGTTGGCTCTGTAGCCATGGTAACCTGGGTTAAATATAGCTCCAACGTAAGATATACACAGTAGAGCACACTTACTATGACCATGTTTATCACTTACCCATATTGGAAAGTCTTGCTTATAGCAAATTTGTATTGTCTTCTGGTGGGTTCCCTAATAAATATCTAACTGTATAATCTACAGGGGACTAAAGTGAACTAATACTTTGTTTGTCTGAGGTTTGTTATAAACATGTTTTATATCAATACATTTATAGTTCCATTGTACAGTCCTTAGATATAAACCAATAATGGGAAGAACTATTACAATCAAACATTTTCCGATCAGAAATTGTCAGTTTTTCCTGCAAAACGTTGGAGCAATTGGGGGCTTATGCTGGCATAAATTTCAAATTATGATGGAATTTCCAAATTATGTTTGTTGCAACACAAAACTGGTTACCATAGAAAACACAACCCTGTTCCTGCAAAATAGGCTGCTCCACCAACCATTTAGTAAAACAGTTTGTTTGCAAATATTTCCATTGAAATATTCCAACATCAAGTAATATGAATGTAACTGCATTGCATACCATCATCAATGCTCAGAACCTGTATTTCAGTCCTCTGTTGTCTTGGTTTGTTTACCTGGTGTTATTGGAGAGCTTAGCATGATCATCAAACCATTCGATTCTGGAAGCATTGATGAACGGACAATCAAGCCTAGCCACCTCGTTCTTCAGGACCAAGAGGGATCGTGTAAACTGGGACTCGATCAAATGTGGTGTGTTTGGTGCTGAAAAAACAAGTCATACAGTGAAAGTTACAATAACATTCAAATGGTACATTTAACCATTGATAAGGTTGTTTTGTTGGGGTTGTTTTCTCCATCAAAATGTTGAACAAACAAAAACTCACTTCAAACTGTATGAATCAGGATTCTTTCTAAAATGTATTTTTTCCTTCATAACCCAACTTTCCCATCAAAGCTAACATTGTATTTCTCATATTAACTTATAAAATATACCGAAACTACAGCAGATTATCACATTTAAATCTTTCAAACTGATTTCAACTGAACCATCAACAAATGAAGAAAACATCAATGAAATCATAATATGTCATAGAATGTTGTTAGGGTGTCACATGCCATTAACATTGTTACCTCACAAGGTACTATCACTGACGATCCTCAATACAAACGGGTTGTGTTACATCACAAGGTACTATCACTAACGATCCTCAATACAAACGTGTTGTGTTACCTCACAAGGTACTATCACTTAACGAACCTCAATACAAACGGGTTGTGTTTCATCACAAGGTACTATCACTAGCAATCCTCAATACAAACGGGTTGTGTTACCTCACAAGGTACTATCACTTAACGATCCTCAATACAAACAGGTTGTGTTACATCACAAGGTACTATCACTTAACGATCCTCAATACAAACGGGTTGTGTTGTGTTACATCACAAGGTACTATCACTAACGATCCTCAATACAAACGGGTTGTCATGTCATAGTTACCAGGTGCATGTTGTAAGAGTTAGTATGAAAATCCTTGACTTGGTAAAGTTACAATATCCTAGTCATTCTAATAAAAGAAACTATCAACCAAAACCAAGGACTACTCATTTATTTATTATTGAAGAAACAGTGTTCAGGATTTGAAATAGATTTGATTTTTACATTATTTTGTTGTGCAACTATTAACATGATAAAAAAAAGTCTCTATAAAAATGAGTCACCACAGTTTAGATGTTTGAAACCTGTCTTGTGACAGTGCGACAATAATAGCCATAGCCGATGCACATGCTTTCCATGTAATTCTATTAGGACGCGAGCTCACATTTCATCAGACAACACACATTGATATCACGTGTGGTATAATTGTCTGCAGGAATGCCTGTTTATCAATTACCACTCCTTCTCTCACAGTTTAAGTTACACATAAACAAGATTTTTTGTCCAGGAAAAAAACAAAATCTTATCTTTAATAAAGAAACTAAATATGTAGAATTGTATACATTTCCAAATCTATATGCGTGTTCATAGAAATGTATTAAATAGTGAGAGTGTAATCGGTACAATGTGTGTTCATATATATTTACATTATAGGATATGTTGATACATGTTCAATGTTTTAACAGGAAAGTATTGCTGTTTTCTTGCAAAAGTCTTTATTATGGCTGAAGCGTATTAAAACCGTATTAAGACATAAAACATGGTAACAGAAAATGAACTGTCTGTCATTAAATACCGTTCTTGATCTTTATTTCCGTCTGACAAATTAAATCGTTTGATATTCAATATATCTTCTATTTCAGTCTTATTGTCATTGCTATTTTGATTAACATTCCCCTGACCTGAAGAAGGCCAAAAAAACACAGTCCAGATTTAATTAGTGCCTCAAGATGTACTAGGTCATGTTGATCAGTTTGTTCCTTAAGAAATAAAAACGTTTATTTATTGAGAACAAAGAGATAGCAGACATGAATAGATGGTTGTATTGTAGCAGACCTTTAGTGTTACAACTCCATAGCAGCACTGATCGCCAAATGCTCCCTGTCAATGTCAGTGCTAACCTTTTACAAGCCAGCAATGCATTTGCTGCGGAGCCTTCACATTTGTTGGTTCCTGCTCAAAGACAGGTATGGATGATGCTGAAGTGACATAACTGTAATACCTACTGACGGAAACGCTTACCAATACAAACAATTCTGCTAATTTCAAACAAATAAAACAAGAGAAGGCTTATCAAAATGGTTTATATGTCTGGCAGACAGTCATCATTGCTATGGTTACCCCGATGGAGAGATGACCTCGTCCAGTGCGTGTCCTTGTCAAGGCTATGGTCTAAAGGTTATCTTACACCAGGGGAGTGGCTATGTGGCAACAGTTAGAATCTTGATTATCTAAGCGAGGGTAACGGCTAGGAACCATCAGCTGATTGGTTGTTGGAGATATAACAGCACATATATATATATACTTTTTTTTAAATTTGATTACGTTTCCTATTGTTTCTGTTGTTGTAGGCTGGTTGGTGTGCAATGTATCTGTTGGGTTTCCCCGATTACCTTTCACGTTTAGGAGGAATTTCACTGGGCTATCAACCGCCCCGGCGACATTCACCGCCCGACACGAGTATATCCCATTATCCTCTGCAGTCACTCCTGTGATTCGAAACCTGTTCCCGGATACTTTCTTCCGATCTTTAACATTGAGCAGTCTGAAATTTACAACAGGAAGGAGGTTTAACACAGGTTAAAAGTACAAAAGTTATCTTCACTCGAGTGACAAAACACATTTATAGTACACAAATTTGTTCTTAGTTTTGTAATGTAGACAAACATTTAGCTTGGACTTGCCACAGAACGCTGTAGACTTCACTCTGTATATCAATCCAGCAAATGTTGTGGTAGCTAGGGTATGATTTGAAAACCTCCAGAATTCACATATATTTATGCTTGTACACAATTCTTTACAGCTAGTATTTTAAAACATATGCACCACTTTATATAAATACTGCTTTGAGCCATGTTTTATGGTACAAATCACTGAAACAGATCCATTTTTATGGCAAAAGAACGTAATTTTTCATTTTGCAAATATATGACAAGAAAGCATTTGACTAATTTTAAAAGAAAATTGTACATATTTGTTTTCTCTGAAAGATGTATTAGGGTTTACAGAGTCAAGTTTTCATATCCAACAACATCCAACTCTTCCATATGTAAAATTTTGTATAATTTCATGCTGAAATAACAAGCCGAGTATGAGAATGTATGTACCTCACCCTTAATCTTGTTTGAATAAACCATGTGGGAAAATAGTGTTATGGTAATTAATTTCGAAACTTTATCGGCAAAACTTGTTTTGTAAACAGTGAGCTGGTACGATTAGGTACAAATCGCAGAGTATGCACTGTGAAACCCTCCGCTTAACAAATTAACTGTCTCATTAAAGTCTATTTCATTTTTCATATGATGATATGGGCAGATTTTTTCTGGGAGGAAGAGAAAATGTTTTCCCGACTATCAATGTACTAAACACTGGAAAAGCATTCCTATCAGAGTAATTGATAGTATAGAGTATGTTCTGGTCATTACAGAAAAAAACAGTTCCAATCTATATTTTTAGATCCCATCTTTAATCACCACCTAAACCCTAACACCTCCTCAATCAATAAACCCTGTATATATAGAGACTTAGATCTATATCCGGTGTGTTGGACTTTGTTAGCAGATTTTTCAAATCTATGTCCGTCCATCTCCCCAAAGGAGACCTGACTTACTTTTCATTCTGTCAGTGCCCTCTAACGGTTACCATGGGGATGAAGTGAAACACTCCATTTTCATTGGTTGACTTCTGCTATTTTAAGTAATTATCATTAATGTGAATTTAAATGACTATTAAGAAAGTAATTTCAAAATACTTCCAAACACTGAAGTAAATGGATTTTTCTGTTTTCTCTCTAGCTCTTGAAAAGCTCTTAGCCATGAAGGGAAAAAAATTTGGGATGAGTTGATGGTATAATTCCCATCAAGGATATAAACAGGCAGACGGTATTGGGATCGGACTACTTGTGAACCATGAGTTAGCAAAGTTCTATATAATTATATATAGGCTGCTGCCCATCACAGCATCCTTCCCTTTAATTGTGGAGTCTTTTACATGGCGATAAAACAAAAATCAGACAGAAAAAATAAACAAGTCGGTAAATAGATATAGTAGTTTGAATTTACGAGGAATTTTCTTGGGATGTTGGGTCAGATCTGGGCTATAGATCCATCCCATGCACAACAATCTTCAAATGAAGATGCTGCATTAGAGAAAAAAAATGGTCTGGATCATATATACTGTTTATGCACAAACAATTTCCCCCCTGCTGCACAACATTTACATATCGGGGTATAAGATAACCGTGTATTTGTGCAAGGGTCGAAGGTTACATCTGACAAATCAAGATGTTTTTGACAGCAGTTAAGGAAGCATACGCTGAACAATTGTTTATGGTTACGAGGTAATACAGGGGCCAAGGTAACACACATCCCTGAGGGATGTGCTCCTTGTAACCACGGCATCTCTTATAGCAGATCATGTTCTTCAGGGGTCAAGGTCAATATGACCTCTGATCCTCACAAAGTTCCACCTGCATACAAAATGGTTAATATTAGGCAAATAACTGGTACATCGTGGCATTGTTGTACCAATAAATCAAACTGGTAAATGATTTTTATGTTTACTCAAGAATCTCCAAATCCTCTCGTTTAGTATTTTTTCTCTTTTTCTCTTGAATTACCAGTGATCAAAGACATACCAGCTTGCCAGTATTCTGTACAGAAAAGTTAAGCAACTAAATGGATAATTTATAATTATGGACATAAAACTATGACCATATTGAAAATAGTCAACTTCCAAATTCTAAGATAGATTAACTCATTCATCCCAGAAGACATATTTGAACTCTTCCAATTCAAGGTTGGAATAGTTCATTATGAAATTTCAGGGGTGAATGAGTTAGGATGTAAAGAAAAAAAAAGAAAAAAAAACAGAGTTGAATTAAAGAAACCTGCAGAGCTTAGTCATTTCGAGATAGAAAATTATGACATCAGTTATGTTGATGTTTTGATAAAACCAGTTCTGTTTTACTTGCCAGTCCCGAACCTGAATGGAAGAATCTACATAAACAAGTTAGATATAAGGCGATTACAGACTCCCGCAGAATAAAGCACTTCCTGTCATTGCGACTGTCAGATCCTGGCAAATTGGAGCTGTTTTATGGTGCTATTTGCTTCATTAAAAGCCAATTTGGAATCTGTTCAGTGTCAATAGCTACACTATCAAAGTCTCCTGTGTAGGTAGCTCTGTAAACACAGTGACACCCCAGCATCCAGTCAGCTACTATCAGACAAACCACAACAATGAACCTTCTTTGAGAGAAGGCCTTGCAGAGGCAAGTCAGGGCATTTCAAAGCATTGGTGGAACACCCAACAATGCCCGAAAACCCAAACAAGATATAGCATCGGTAGTTATTGTCAAAATAACGGCAGACAGAGTCATCAGCAGCCCTAGTAATGATTTTCATCACAAAGCTTCCTTCAATGGCATCAGTTTAATTTAGTAGGAATGACTTTGCCCGAGGTTTTGTTTCTTTGAAGATGCTGCTGAATGGTTTCTGGCCAAAATAGTTGTACACAATCATGTAACGGGTGTGTTTCTGTATTACGAAACAGAAGAATTTAGCTTCCACTTCAAATCCAAAATTGGTTCGTTATAAGTAATATGTAGGAATTTCATCTTTCCTGTGTTTATATACATTGCTTGTTTTCCCCACATGTAATGTACTACACATAACAGGTTTTTGAACATTGCTGTCTAGAAACTGTGATGTATGATTTTTTTTTTAAATATTCGAACAGGAAAACCCTCTTTCCATGGTGTTTCAGTTCCTTTATATTGGTTAAACTGCAGCAAACTTGACAATAAGTTGGCAAAAACACAAGTTCAAGAGCTATTCTCAGCAGTTCCTCAGAAACAAATCAAATGTTTGATCAATTTCTTGCTGGAACCCGCAGGACACCAGTCATCCACTGCCAATTCCTTTAATAGGTAAGGCTAGAACACTAGAAATCCGCCCAACCATTACCTAGAATGTCCCTTTTATTACCAGGGAGGCTTGAATAGTAAACAAACAGTTATGTGTATATAGATATACAGTTCCCTGGTGAGTGGAGTCAAACATAAAATAAAAGTGAAAACCTACGAAAAAGGAGATAATGCTGACACAAATATCAGTATAAATGAGAAGCAATCTATTGTTTGTTTACACAATCAATCACTGATATGGCCTTTTTTAGCTCTCCACATCATCAAAGTACATATTTCACACCTGAAAAGCTGGCAAACCACAAAAGTACCATAAAGGGAACAACACCTGTTGCTGCTGCTGCTGGATTTACCTGGCCAGGTGTAATACTAATCAAACCTGCCCATAGTTATACTTTGAGTCAGCTACATCAGTGTGATACCCTAGAGTGTAGTTCTAAGCTTGTGTCGCTAGTGTAGAAAGAAACACGGTGCTCTAAGGAGCAATTCAGACAATTGTTTAGGTGTAAACAAGGCAATTCTCTTCATTGACAATAGCAGATAGGTAAAAATACCCACAAGTACACATGCTTAGCATTGACTAGAAATTGGCACAGGGATAGGTGTGGGGAAGACAAAGCAGTGAAAGTTGACAGAAAAGATGGAGATTAAAGGATCAAGCATACCAAACAAACTAGACAGCTAATCTTTCCTATTTTTTGTTTTTTGTTTTCTTTTTACTTTGAATTAATTAAGAGTGACAATGTAGAGAATTCTTATAGTCATCAATGAGATTTTGAAAGGTCTTTTTGGCTCATAGATGAATTTAACAATCAAATTAACATCTATTTCTTATATAAAGTGCAAAATATATTTTTGCTTATTTTGAAAATTGATTAAAAAGTCTTTTAAACTTATTTCATGACTGCTTTTTATAATGCATTTGCAATACTGCTTCAACTACATAGAAAAGCCATTGATGATACAACCTTTGGTATTCGGGGTAACCTAAACACCACACCACCTCTCATAACACATCCCTCTAATCACATTCTAAACCAGCACCTACATCACATGTACTTTCAACAGTTTATTTGATTAATGGCAATGTGCTGAAGGAATCAAAACTCCTATGCATTCTTCAGCGGGATAAAAATTGATTTGCTTTCTGCTTTATTGGTGAACTCCTCCGATCTATGGTATGTACAGATGCAAGGACGGACCGGTTAATGTCTGACACGTTCTAACAATGTCTTTGACCTGTCTTTGCTGTCTGGAATTCATTAGATGTTCGTTAATACCTGGTGTTCGGTAAATGAAAAGGTCATATCCGATGTCTCTCCAAAAACTTCTCAGCATTGGACAATTTATAGAATTTCCATTTTAGACACAGCGTAGGTTAATGATGTGACACTGATGTTGATGTAACCAAGGCGATGGTCCTATAATTCTACCCTCGTAAATTATTTCCATTATGGTTCTGGCACAAAATACATAAAACCAGCATGAAGCTTGAAAAAAGTGGATCGTGAAAACAGCATGAAAATGAAAGCTCACAGATAATATGAGTTTCTGTTATACCTCGGCAACTATTCTGTGTACCTACCAAAGTGCTTCAAGTCAACCGCAACTAAATGATT